CTAGATGAAGGGTATAAGGAGCAGAGCTGAATCTCAGATTCTACAAGTCCTGCACAAAGGGAAGAGCAGGACGTGAAACTACCATTCCCAGTCCATTATCATTAAGGTCACAAATTTTCAAGATAATTAAACAGTTACTTTGCTGATATTGGCCAACAATTACATAAAATTCTAGTAGATTACTCGCTAACAAGGTCTCTTCCATCTTACCAAAGGCCCACGTTCTCTTACCATAGACGGGGAGGTAAATATTGGGAATAACTCTCCATCCTGACTCATTCTTTTCTTTGTTTACTGTAGTAATTCCAGTGAAGAGATTAAAACTTTCTGGAACATGATCAAGAACTGAGAGATCAAGCTTAGTGAAAGGTGGAAAAGCTCCTGGTGGTAAGAAAATATGTGAAGGAAACAAAACTCAAAAGTAATGTGATATGGAGACCACCAGGGAGCCTATAGAAATCTTTTAATATCTGTGAACTTGGGACTTCTCAATGGCCTCCTGGCTATGGATATGATGTTTCTACTGTGCAATCCTTACTCTCCACTCCCTAGTTACTAAAACTACATGTGTGGAATGAGGGAAGAAAGTGCATTCATCTTCTTCCCTTAGGAAGGAGATCAGGCTCTGAGATTTTAATTCCTGTTCTCCTTCTCAATTAATCTCAATCTTTCCCATTGGTCAGAGGAGAAAATATTCCTGTCTCCTGACTCCTGCCAAAAGTCCCCAACAATGCCATAGTCTTGAAGGGCAGTGAAAGACTCAAAAGAGTCAGGGAAGGGCTCATGAGCCTGGGAACTAGAAGAACAATTAAAAGTTGAGATAAAACTTTTCAGAATGTTTATCCCCTAGGGAACTTAGAAGAGTGGGGAGCTGTGGTTGTGGAGAAGTAGCTGAGTAAGAAGGGAGGAAGAATTAGTAAAGGAACACACCAAGAGCAAGTAATTGCCCTCTGGGGATTCTTAGGTTCTGAAAAGTTATCACCTAAGACTGACAAAGTGAAACCTGCATCCCCAGGAAGAAGAAGGACAACTGCTTCAAGGACTTCCTGAGAGATGTGCTGTCCCCCATCCAAAATGAGTTCTGTGCATGAGATGAGCATTCAGCCTGGGTGAGTCTCCCACAGGGAAGGTTAAGAGGAAGTGGTGAGAGGATAGAGTCCAAATCCCTGGGAGCAGCCAGGACTGCCCTGGGATCCTCCACTGTGTTTTTCTCACTGGTTATAGTTGGAGGCTCTTTGATTCTTCCCATGACCTAGATGATGCAACTCACTGTTTTCAAGCCATTCAAAAGAGTCCTGGGTCTTGGTCAGATGTCCAATCAACAGTACAAACTGAAGTGCTCAGTGTATACAGACATACACTCAAAGAACTAAAGAGTGGAAGTCAAAGAGATAAGGCTCCTTTTTGGTCCTTAAGTCATCTGTATTATGTTAGAGAGAAGAATAAGGAATGGAGAAGGGCTGGGCTTGGTAGGAAAACCAAAGATAAACATAGACTCCATCTTTCCTTGAAAAAGAGAATGGTAAATATTCTCAATCATGAAGAAGCATAATCCCTCTGGAACTAAGGCAGGTTTGGTCCCTGGTCTCATGGACAATTTAGCGATCATCTCACTCTAGGAATGATCTGGGACTGAATTTGGAAAATAGCTCATGTACCAGAGGCTACAATGCTTTCAGCTGTATTCGTATGGGTCCTTCCTTATTTCTTTAGCCTCTAGTTTTCAAGTCAACCTGGTCCCATTCATTGGAACCTCCTCAAACAGTTATGTGTGATATGAATGCTTTGGTCCCCAAACCCAGTAACCAATAATATCTAATTGCCAACAGTCACACTAGCTATGCATACTGACAGTGATCAAAGAATGAAGAATTTCTTATTTCTTTTTATACTGCTTTAAACTACAGCTTACATATATTCATTTATTGCAGATCTTTAATGCTGGGAGAAATCTTACTGCTTACCTAACTTGCTCCTTCTGTAGAGTGAAGAATCTATAGCTCAAAAAGGCAGTGACTTACAATGATACCTGGAGGATTTATTGATGCAGGTTAAAACCAAGTTCTCCTTACTACCAATCTACATACACCTTAAACCACATCTACTTTCTCAGGAAGCAAATGCACTGGCTGTTTCTTTGCTTCTACTTATTATTTTTACATATCTGGGTGGATATTTATATAGTCCAACTCTATGTCTCCAGTTATCGGACTTGATATCTAGTTTCTTCTGAAAACTTTAATAAGATCATGATGACTCACCCTCTCTGTCTTCCTGCCAGGCTGTTCCTGGACAGGGAGACCAGGCTGTATTGATCCCTGTTAACCCCAGCACCTGCCACTGGACCAGACACTCTCAGTGCTCAGTAAATATTCACTAAATTGAGCAAAATGGAATGCAATTCTCTAATTATTCCAAAGATCAGAAGACGAGGCTATCTGTTAATAAAAATAGTTTATCATCATCTAAAAATAGCACCAAAAATTTATTTGAGGCGGCCAGCTCAGTGGTGCAGTGGTTAATTTCGTGCTCTCCCCTTCGGCAGCCGAGGGTTCTGGTGTTCGGATCCTGGGCCAGACCTACAGACTGCTCATCAAGCCATGCTGTGACAGCATCCCACATACAAAATAGAGGAAGATTGGCACAGATGTTAGCTCAGCGACAATCTTCCTCAAGCAAAAAGAGGAAGATTGGCAACAGATGTTAGCTCTGGGTAAATTTTTCTCATCAAAAAAAAAAAATTATTTGAAAAAAGCTCTTTGGTTTCCTTGTCTATAAAATGAAATGGATGGAATACATTATCTCTATGGTTCATTTCATTTCTAAGATTTTTTTTCTCTTATAGAGTAACAGGGCCCTTCTGGAGGGAATCTGGATCCATGACCATGACTCTGAAAGTGAGGATTCTGGATGCTGTAGCAGCCTCCAGATTCTAGTAGATCAGAGCTGAGTTACTTCCTCTGCTGATGCAAGAACCAGGCTCTGTGTGTGGCCACAGGCTCCCTGGGGCGGTGCTCAAAACCCCAGCCACCAGCTACAGCACTCTGGCCCTAGAACCCATCTCCAACCCTGAGAACCTAAGGCCCATTTCTATTCTCAGCAGTCTCTGTAATGACAGCTTCTGGCCACTGCAGGACCAGGGCTGAGTGGAAAGCAAGAAACGCCAGCTCCATCCAGCTTCTGTGCTCTCTCCCTCCACCAATGAAAGCCCAGGCCAGCGTTCCCAGCCGGAAGACATCTGAATTTGATGATGTTTTCAATTCTGTCATATTTGAGTCTGGGGCTCCATTCTGGTTTTCTGAGCACTGATGTATTATTGCATTTGTCCTTTTTTCAGCTGTCTCATTTGATTCTCACAAGATCCAATTATTTTTAATGTTTTATTTGTTCATGAGACACTGCTGATTTCCTAACACAAATTAGTAATATTGAAAGGTAATATTTCCTAGAAGTTGGTTGAAAGCATAGTGACTCATACTCAATAAATATTTTTAATAAATGAGTTAATTCACTTACTAATTATTTTAAGAGTAGGAAATATACCTTGAGATTACAATTCTATTAAGAAAAACTGGGGGCCCACCCGGTGGCACAAGCGGTTAGGTGCGCGCGCTCCATTGGGTTCGCCAGTTTGCATCCCAAGCGGGCACCAACGCACTGCTTGTCAAGCCATGCTGTGGTGGCGTCCCATATAAAGTGGAGGAAGATGGGCACAGATGTTAGCCAAGGGCCAATCTTCCTCGGCAAAAAAAGAGGAGGATTGGCAGATGTTAGCACAGGGCTGATCTCCTCACAAAAAAAAGAAAAAGAAAGAAAAACTGATGACATTTAATTCTATTTTTATAGAGGGTGGTCGACATGTTGGAAGGGAAATAACCAAGAACAATCTTAGCTGAGAAAGGGGAATTCACTGCCTCTTAATGGATTCAGTGGATTTCAGTCACCTCATACACAGTAGTAACATGTGAGTATCATCGGTTTTCAAATGCTCTCATTACATTATTTTGTTAATCATTTATTTAAACATCTGAATATATGCCTGCAACTTATGATATATATTGCACATTATTGAGAAGGAAGGCATTACCGCAGTGGTAATTTAATTACAGCTGCAAATTTAGTTATCCAACTGATAACCCTGTTCTTCTCCTTCATAGCTCTTAGCACAATTATACATAATTAATTTTTTATAATTATTAATGTGCCCCTGATTACATTATAAGAATAAAGAAAGCAGAACTTGTGCTTCAGTCTTCCTGATTCACAGACAGGTATCTAATGTCCAGCACAGTCCCTGCACAGAGCAAGGACTTAGTAGATATTGGTTTAAAGGACTGAAGCATCATCCGACCTATGGGCACAATGAGAATGACATGAGAGGATTGCTTTCTAGGCAGTGACCCAGACTGCACCCAAGAAGAAACATGAAGAGAAACAGAATCCAGCCCCTTAGGAACAACACTGAGGAACCAGGGTACCCTTCTTGGTCGCCAGTGTCCGACTATAATACTTTATCCCTGCTTTACCCCTACCCCGCAAAGAGGAATCCTTCTTGTGCTCCCTGTCCTCCACTGTCCTTCACTTCTTTTCCGTTTTCTACCTTCCTTCCTTAGTTTTTTTTTATCTTTTACTTTCTTTTTTTTCTTTCTTCTATCCTTTTTTCTCCCTCTTTCTCTACCACTTTATTTCCCTGTCTTTCTTTCTGCACTGATAGCTTATCTCCTCTATAACTGTAACTGTGCTGGATCCTAGACATAAAAGAATGACCAGAACAGGGATTTTATCCTTGAGATTCTCCCTGTCTAGTCTGAGAACCGAAATGTCCCTTTCTCCAACATCCATTGCATTCTCCCTGATCCCCTAGGCTAAGGAACCTCTGGAAGTGTGTCAATTCCAGCCTCAGTCCTAGCCCAGGGCTTAATCCCAGACTTCTAAAGTAAGACAATCACTTGTCACTCCTTGACTCTGTTCCTCCTCCAATAGCCTGACCCATCACCTCCATGAAGGACAATCTGACCTGGGTGAGTGAGTTTGTCCTCATGGGGCTCTCCAGTGACAGGCAGATCCAGGCTGGACTCTTTGTCCTGTTTGGGGCCACCTATCTGCTGACCTTACTGGGCAACGGCCTCATTGTCCTCCTGATCAGGCTGGATGCACGACTGCACCTGCCCATGTACTTCTTCCTCTGCAACCTGGCAGTGCTGGACATTTGTTACACCTCCAGTGGGGTCCCCCAGATGCTGGTGCACTTCCTCTTGGAGAAGAAGACCATCTCCTTCACCCGATGTGCAACCCAGCTCTTCTTCTCACTGGCTCTGGGAGGGACTGAGTTCCTGCTGCTGGCAGCAATGGCCTATGACCGTTATGTGGCAGTCTGTGATCCCTTGCACTACATGGCAATGATGGGTCCTAGGAGCTGTGCAGCACTGGCAGCAGTCTCTTGGCTCACGGGCCTGGCTAATTCTGCTGTGGAGACGGCAGTCACCATGCGTCTGCCCACCTGTGGGCACCACGTGGTGAACCATGTGTCCTGTGAGACACTGGCACTGGTCAGATTGGCCTGTGTGGATGTCACCCTCAACCAGGTGGTCATAGTGGTCTCCACCGTGGTGGTGCTGCTGGTGCCCTGCTGCCTGGTCTCCCTGTCCTACGCCCACATTGTGGCCACCATCCTGCGGATCCGCTCCACTGGGGGACGCCGCAAAGCCTTTGGGACCTGTGCCTCCCACCTCACTGTGGTCTCCATGTCTTATGGGATGGCCCTGGTTACCCACATGCAGCCCAGCTCTACAGCCTTAACCGAGCAGGACAAGGTGGTGGTGCTGTTTTATGCTGTGGTGACTCCCATGTTGAATCCGCTCATCTACAGTTTGAGGAACAAGGACATGAAGGCTGCTCTGAGTCGAGTTCTGATGAGGAGTTCTGAATCAAAACTTTAGTACGTGACTTTGTCACAGAGGGCCTTACTCTGCAGATGGTGGGCAATGAATGGAGCATGCTCTCCTACATAACGTCTGTGTGTGCATATGTATGTGTGCATGTGCATGTGTGCGTGCACTCACGTGTAAGGGAGCTGGTGGAAGGACCACAACATACACCACTATCTTTTGAGGTAATAGAGTAATGAGATTTTATCTCTGGACTCTATTTTTGGTCTCTGACTTATTCTTAAACATGTGAAACAACTTAGAGATGCATACATGCTACAGAAAATTAAATGGTAAAAATATAAATATGTACCTGCATATATGAATTAGAAAGGAGGATTAAATCAGAAGTCAGGGCAGTGCACAAAACTTATGCCAAGAAAGCCTATTTCCTTGCTAAAATGTACAACTATATGTCTAAGCTTTTCTGCAATCAGTGAGAAAAGTGGGGAGGGGAAGTTGTAAGTTACAAATTCACTCTGCCCATGGGACAGATAGGCCTTAGGCCAGAGGTGCAAATGTCACCCCTGTGACTCACACATGGTCCATCCCAGCTCTATAGGGTGGGGAATTCACATGGAGACTTGAACCAAAGTCAGAGTAATGATGCCCACAGCCCTGATGAGCAGGACCGGACCATGTGTGAGTCACATGGACATCACTCTGCATGTTTCCCTCTCAGACCTGCATTGGTGACAAATGACTGGCCAAAATGTCAAACGTTCAGGATCTCAAACACATATCTTTCTACATAATCAAATCTAAGGATATTCTCTTGGGAAAACTGAGGAATGTATTCAGAACTCATGGTTGACTAGAAGGTATTGCCACACATGATCAGAGGTGATTCAGCAAGGAAAGAATCAGTTTCCCATTGGTGATAATTTCTCTCTTGTAACACACAATTAATGATGGAGCTCTAAACATCCTAAAATTTAAAACAAAGCAATGATAATTTTATCCAGAAAAATGTTTAAAACAATCTTTAAAAGTCAGAATAAATCTCCTGTTACCTAAATATTACAGATCTCTGGTTTGTCTTACCCACAAAAAAAAAACAACATAAGATGACAACAATTCAACTTATAATCAATCTGTTGAAAAAATGCCAAAAGGTTGAGGAGCAGGGAATGGAGTATCTTTTTAAATTCCTAGTAAAACTTTTTTTTAAATCATCTTAAATTTTTAGCAATATTTTCTCTTTTTTTTGTGGTAACATTGGTTTCTAACACTATATAAATTTCTGGTGTACATCATTATAATTTGATTTCTCTGTAAACTACATCATGTTCACCACTCAAAGACTAATTACCATCCTTCACCGTACACATGTGCCCTATCATCCCTTTCACCCTTCTCCCTCCCCTTTTCCCTCTGGTAACCGCCAATATAATCTCTGTCTATGTGTTTGTTTCTTTTTGTTCTTATCTTCCACATGTGAGTGAAATCATACAGTGTTTGACTTTCTCCCTCTGACATATTTCACTAAGCATAAAACCCTCAAGGTCCATCCGTGTTGTTGCAAATGGCAAGATTTCATCTTTTTTTATAGATGAGAAGTATTCCATTGTGTATACATACCACATCTTCTTTTTCCCTTTCTCAATTTATGGGCACTTAGGTTCTTTCCAAGTATTGGCTATTGTGAATAATGCTGCAATGAACATAGAGGTGCAAATATTTATACATTTGTCTTTTCCTGTTTTTTGGATAACTACCTGGCAGTGGAATAGCTTGATCACATGGTGGTGATTTTTCGAGGAATCTCTGTACTGTTTTCCATAGTGGCTGCATCAGTTTGCACTCCCACCAGCAATATATGAGAGTTCCCTTTTCTCCACATCTTCTCCAACATTTGTTATTTTTTGTCTTGTTAATTATAGCCATTCTGATGGGCTTGAGGTGATATCTCATTGTAGTTTCTATTTGCATTTCCCTAATAATTAGTGATGTTTAACATCTTTTCATGTGCCTGTTGGCCATCTGTATAGCTTCTTTAGAAAAATGTCTATTCAGATCCTTTGCCCATTTTTTAATTGAGTTGTTTGTTTCTCTGTTGTTGAGTTGTATGAGTTCTTTATATATATTAGATATCAATCCCTTATCAGATATATGATTTGCAAATATCTTCTCCCAATTTTTAGATTGTCTTTTCACTTTGTTGATGGTTTCCCTTGCTGTGCAGAAGCTTTTTAGTTTGATGTAGTCCCATTTGTTTATTTTTGCTTTTGTTCCCCTTGCCTAGTGAGACATGGTATTCAGATTTTATTTATTTTTATTTATTTTTATTTTTTCCCCCCCAAAGCCCCAGTAGATAGTTGTATGTCATAGCTGCACATCCTTCTAGTTGCTGTATGTGGGACTCGGCCTCAGGATGGACGGAGAAGTGGTGCCTCGATGTGCACCCGGGATCCGAACCCGGGCCACCAGCATCGCAGCGCGCGCACTTAACCACCAAGCCACAGGGCCGGCCCAGAGACATGGTATTCAAAAATATGCAAGACCAATGTTGAAGAGCATGCTGCCTATGTTTTCTTCTAGACGTTTTATGGTTTCAAGGCTTACATTCAAGCCTAATCCCTTTTAGTTAATTTTTGTGTATGGTGTAAGGTAATGATCTACTTTCGTTCTTTTGCATGTGGCTGTCCAGTTTTCCCAACACCATTTATTGAAGAGACTTTCCTTTCTCCATTGTATGTCCTTGGCTCCGTTGTTGAAAATTAGGTGTCCACAGATGTGTGGGTTTATTTCTGGGCTCTCGATTCTGTTCTGTTGATCTGTGTGTCTGTTTTTGTGCCAGTACCGTGCTGTTGTTATTACTATAGCTTAGTAGTATATTTTGAAGCCAGGGATTGTGATGCCTCCAGCTTTGTTCTTTTTTCTCAGGATTCCTTTGGCTATTCGGGGTCTTTTGTTGTTCCATATAAATTTTAGGATTCTTTGTTCTATTTCTATGAAAAATGTCATTGGGACTTTGATAGTGATTACATTGAATCTGTAGATTGCTTTAGGACATATGGACATTTTAATTCTTCCAATCCATGACCTCATAAAATCTTTTCATTTCTTTGTGTCTTTTTCGATTTCTTTGTGTCTTTTTCGATTTCTTTCAACAATGTTTTATAGTCTTCAGTGTTCTTGTCTTTCACCTCTTTTATTAAATTTATTCCTAGGTATTTTATTCTCTTTATTGAGATTGTCAACATGATTGTATTCTTAATTTCTCTTTCTGCTGTTTTGTTGCTAGTGTCTAGAAATGCAACTGATTTTTTATTAATTTTGTATCTTGCAATTTTACTGTATCCATTGATTATTTCTAATAGTTTTTGGTGGATTCTTTAGAGTTTTCTATATATAAAATCAAGTCATCTGCAAATAGTGACAGTTTTACTTCTTCCTTTCCAATTTAAATCGGTTTTATTTCTTTTTCTTGCCTGATTGTTCTGGCTAGGACTTTCAATACTATGTTAAACAGGAGTTGTGAAAGTGGGCATCCTTGTCTAGTTCCTGTGCTTAAAGGGATAGCTCAGGTTTTCACCATTGAATATGACATTAGCTGTGGGTTTGTCATATATGGCTTTTATTATGTTGGGGTACTTTCCCTCTATACCCATTTACTTCAAAGTTTTTTTATCATAAATATATGCTGTATCTTGTCAAATGCTTTCTCTGCATCTCTTGATATGATCATGTGATTTTTCTTCTTCATTTTGTTGATGCGGTGTATCACATTGATTGATTTGAGGATGTTGAACGATCCCTGCTTCCCTGGAATAAGTCCCACTTCATCATGGTGTATGATCTTTTTAGGGTACTGTTGTATGCGATTTGCTAGTATTTTGTTGAGGATTTTTGCATCTATCTTCATCAGTGATATTGGCCTCTAATTTCCTTTTTTTGTGTTGTCTCTGTCTGGTTTTGGTATCAGGGTAATGTTGGCTTCATAGAATGAGTTGGGAAGCTTCTCCCCTCTTCAAATTTTTGGATGAGTTTGAGAAGGATAGGTATTAAATATTCTTTGAATGTTTTGTAGAATTTGCCAAGAGGGGAAGCCATCAGGTCCTGGACTTTTGTCTTTTGGGGGAGTATGATTACTGTTTCGATCTCCTTATGGTGATTGTCTATTCAAATTCTCTGTTTCTCCTTGATTCAGTTTTGGAAGGTTGTATGATTCTAACAAGTTATCCTTTTCTTCCAGATTATACAATTTGTTGGCATACAGCTTTTCATAGTATTCTTTTATAATCCTTTAAAAATTAAAATACAAATTAAAAAATTAAAATACAAATCCTTTGTATTTCTGAGGTATCTGTTGTAATTTCTCCTCTTTCATCTCTTATTTTATTTATTTGAGCCTTCTTTCTTTTTTTTTTCTTGGTGAGTCTAGCTAAAGGTTTGTTAATTTGTTTATCTTTTCAAAGAAGCAGATCCAAATTTCATTGATTTTTTTTTCTATCATTTTTTAGTCACTATTTCATTTATTTCTTCTCTGATTTTTATTATTTCCTTCCTTCTAGTGATTTTGGGCTCTATTTGTTCTTCATTTACTAGTTCCTTTAGGTGCACTGTTACATTGTTTATTTTGAGATTTTTCTTATTTGTTGAGATATGCCTGTATTGCTAAAAACTTCCCTCTTAGCACCATTTTTGCTGTATCCCATAAATTTTGGCATGTCGTACTTTCTTCTTTTTTTTTTTTTTTCTAATACTTCCTTTCCTCATCTCTTTTTTATTTTTAATTTTTTGTTTATTGCAGTAACATTGGTTTATAACATTGTATAAATTTCAGGTGTACATCATTATACTTCTATTTCTGCATAGATTACATCATGTTCACCACCCAAATACTAACTACAACCCATCACCACACACTTGTGCCAAATTATCCCTTTTGACCTCCTCCGTCCCCCCTTCCCCTCTGGTAATCACCAATCCAATCTCTGTCTCTATGTGTTTGTTTGTTGTTGTTGTTATTATCTACTACTTAATGAGGGAAATCATACGGTATTTGA